AAAATCACAACTATTAGAGAAAAAATTGGTCGGACCACTCCCACAGCTCTCACAGATGTGCCATCTACTACAATGGCTTTAGAAACATCTGTAAGACCTCATTTATACTTGGACTACTTCTTTCCCATAGATCTCTCTGAGTTGACCTCAACAATTGCTTCATCTAAATCATCAACATGTCTCCTGGATCCCATCCCGACCAGGCTGCTCAAAGATGTTGTTCCCCTAATTAACACATCCATACTAGATCTGATTAACCTTTCTCTATTAACAGGTTATGTTCCACAGGCTTTTAAAGTTGCTGTAATTAAACCTCTACTCAAAAAGCCTACTCTTGACCCAGGTGTTCTGGCTGATTATAGACCAATATCCAATCTCTTGTTTATTTCTAAAATTGTGGAATACGCTGTTGCAAAGGAGTTATGTGACCACTTGGACAAGAATGATTTGTTTGAGGATTTTCAGTCAGGATTTAGAGTCCATCATACTACAGAAACTGCATTGGTGAAAGTCACTAGCCTTCCTAGCCTCAGACAAAATACTTGTCTCCATACTTGTCCTCTTAGATCGCAGTGCTGCTTTGGACACCACTGATCACAGCATCTTACTGCAGAGACATGAACATGTTAATGATGAATCTTCCACACAGACTGAAGTTAGTCATGGCGTTCCACAGGACTCTGTGTTAGGTCCAATTCTCTTCACTTTATACATGCTCTCTTTAGGCAATATTATTAGGAAATACAGCATACATTTCCATTGCTATGCAGATGATAGTCAGTTATAATGATCTATGAAGCCAGATGAATGAAATCAGCTATTCAAACTTCAAGCATGTCTTAAACACATAAAGGCCTGGATGACCTGTAATTTCTTACTTCTAAACTCTGACAAAACTGAAGTCACTGTGTTTGGGCCTGAAAATCTTAGAAATCCGATGTCTAATCATATAGTTACTCTAGATGACATAGCTCTTGCCTCCAGTACTACTGTGAGGAACCTTGGAGTCATCTTTGATCAGAATATGTCCTTTAAATCACACATAAATCAAGTCTCTAGAACTGCCTTCTTTCACCTGCGCAATATTGCAAAAATGGAGCATCCTGTCTCAAAGTGATGCTGAAAAACTGGTCCATGCATTTGTTACTTCCAGGCTGGACTACTGTAACTCTTTACTATAAGTATATCCCAATAATTCCCTAAAAAGCCTCCAGTTAATCCAAAATGCTGCAGCCAGAGGACTGACAGGAACGAGCAAGAGAGATCATATCTCTCCCATATTAGCTTCTCCCCACTGGCTCCCTGTAAAATTCAGAATAGAATTTAAAAACCTTCTCCTAACATACAAAGCCCTTAATGACAAAGCTCCATCGTATCTTAAAGACCTTGTAGAGCCTTATCATCCTAACAGAGCACTTCGCTCTCAGAGTGCAAGTTTACTTGTGGTTCCTAGAGTCCACAGAAGCAGAATGGGAGGCAGAGCCTTTAGCTATCAAGCTCCTCTCCTATGGAACCAACTCCCAGTCTCAATTCGGGAGGTGGACACCCTCTGCTTTCGGCGGGGATTTCTGTCTCCGGAGCTCTATGTGTCCGATGAGCAGTCATCGGCCACATCAACCTGCCCACTGTTTGATTGTTGTGTCTTGTTGCTTTTCTTCTTTTCTCTCTCCTCTATCCACTCACCCCAACCGGTCGAGGCAGAAGGCCGCCCACCAAGACCCGGGGTCTGTCGGAGGTTTCTTCCGTTAAAGGGAGTTTTTCCTGCCCTCTGTCGCCAAGTGCTTGCTCAAGGGGGATTTGTTGGGTTTTCCTCTATAATAATAGTGATAACAGTAAGGTCTAGACTTTACTTTGTAAAGTGTCCTGAGATGACTTTTGTTGTGATTTGGCGCTATACAAATAAAATTTGATTTGATTTGATTTGCTTTCAAATGTGCCACCCCTCTCTGAGTCTCTGCCCCAGCCTGGCCACCCTGTCCAAAGTTTTTAGATCTGTTCCTGAGCAATAGCAATACATGTAGCAGTCCCATATTATAGAAACATCAGGAAGGAGTGTGAAGTACTGAAACTGAAGTACCAGGGCCTGAAAGAGGAACTGGAGATGATGTGGAAAGAAAAGGCCAAAGTGGTCCCAGTGGTGGTAGGAGCCCTCAAAGCCGTGACTCCCAAGCTGGGAGACTGAGACCAACAGATCCCAGGAACAGCATCAGAGCTCTATGTCCAGAAGAGCTAAGAAGACCCAAGGTTGAGGATGACACATACCACATGTAAAGTTTAAAAAGTAGTTTGACAAAATAATCCAAGTTTAACACAGCTGCATTCCAATGCTCAAATCATTCAGCTAATCAGAAATATTTTAATTTCATAATTTTTTATTTCAAGGAACTTTGCTTCATACAAAATGTTTAATGTAGAAACAATTGCAGAATTCAAAGTCTGGCCAGGAAACATAAAATCAGGCAAACAAACATTTCACTGAATTCCAAGACCCAAATAAATGGATCTTCCTGTTCTGCTGCACAGAGTGGAACTATCAGCAATTTTCAATACTGGTTTTAATAGAAATGTGTCTTTTCAACAAACCCCACAGTTTATATCAAATATTAAAAATCAACAACAAAATAACACATAGTATCTAAAAGTACTAAGTTTTCTACATGCACATACATTGTTAGAACATGCAAACATCTGAATTTTCTCAAGAAAAAGCCACATTTACTTTGCCAAATGTATGCAGAAAAAAGAGACTGCATCACTTTTAATGTTTGATGTCCGATTTGTCCAGACTTGGGCACAGATACGTTTTCTGTTGATGCAATACAGAGGCTGCAGAGTTTAAGAAGGTACAGATATTCTGAGGATTTTTCTGCCAGTGTGACAGAAGCATTACAACAATGAATGTACAGTATCTGCAGAAGAATGTGTTCCTGTCTTTGACCAAAAGAATCACTTTGACAGTATTCAAGGCTGACCCATCAAAACCATTTTACTGAGGTGTGTGAACAGGACACACCGGCCATTTTGAGCCATGGGATTTCCATTTGACAATGTTGAAGTGGGTAAATGTATGCATGCAAATATATGTATACAGTTGCTGTAGTCCTAAATATTGTTTCTTGTTTATGCTTTGTGCCTTTATGCATTTAAGCCTTTTTTACATTTTCGTTTGCATTTTCTATAAAACATTTGGTCACAATCATGCTGAAGCCTGAATCTAGAGAGACCAGCATGTAAAGCTACAGAATTAGTGGAGAAATGAGTTTTTCTTGTTGCATAGCCCTACACTCTTACCTTCAGATTGTGTCTGATCCATAGTGTGTGTCACTGTGGCTGAACAAGGCCCCCATCTTTTTCCTTCTAAATTCTGGGGGGCTAGAGGCTTTCAAGAAATCCCCCATTAGTATTTTCCAGCCAATCAACTGCTGCAAAAGTTTGTCTTTCCCCATGTTGCAGATTGCTGTGATTTGAATGCACAACATTACATTATAATTTCATAAAAGGACAATCTGATGTTGATGCTAGTCATGTATCAAACAAGTTGCATATACAGTAACGAGTGTGTGTTGTAAATCAACCTACATACAGTATCTTGTTCAGAGCACAGCACAGTTTCAGGCATCAACAGACAGTTCTCCGGAGCTATGCGACTGACAGATGGTGCAGATGTATTTCTAGAGCTCTGAGCTGGAGACCTTCAAACTGGAAGCAGAGATCAGTGAGGGAGTAGGGCAGGCATGGGCCTCCAGCACTCTCAGATCCACTTCTGACCATTGCTAAATATCAGTCTGGTAGTTCTGTACATTCTATATTTAGCTGTGTCCCAATTCCTTATAACATATGAATAGTTTACAGTATTTATTATAAATTAACAGATACATCAGTATCAGTGTATATGTTGATCAGTAAACCACAAGAAAAGCAGGTACAGACAGACAGCTATGTTTGAGACCATTTTGAAACCGTGTCACCATTAGAGTTTGCTCACCATAAAACAAGTTAACACTGTAAAATGTCTTGTCTGGTTTACAATTCCCCAAAAGATATCTACCAGCCTATCTTTTTCAGACTTTTTAAACTCAAACAGAAATAATGGTACCATCCTCCAAGCCTGGCACTCTGCAGTATATTGATTTTGCAAATACCATACAAGAAATCAGTGTACTTTATCACATTGTACCAATAGGAAAGGATCAGGTGTGGACATCAATCAAACTGCAGATTATAAAGCCTATTAAATTTTAAGGTGCTCTACCTAATTTCTTTTCAGTCACTCTAAACAAACTCCCACCAGAAACCATTCCATACCACTCTTTGCCTCTCCCATCCTGTTTTCTGAAGTAACAACATGAATTACGGAGCTCTGTCTCTGATGAGCAGTCACCGGCCACATCGCTTGGTTGTGACCAACTGTACAAAGGGCAGCCTCCAGACCAAAGCTAGCGCTAGCTGAATAACAGCATTTGCAGCGGTATAGTGTCAAGTGACAAGACTGGCAGTTTACCGATTTAAGGTGACACAAAGCACAAACATTACACAAAGCTTAAATTGCTCCCTGATTAAAAACATTCATTCAATACAAAGGTGAAATCATGACTACGCTGGGTTGCTCATGTTACCTAGATAATCACATTAGTTTTAGATGCTAACACATCCAGAAAGAACACCACCATATCTGAATAAAATCTGAATCCTTTGACTTGCTTTTAACATCCTCTGTGTCAAAAAGCCAAACCGATGGTAACCTCGGTCTTTGCTCTTTGGTCTGGCAGCCACTGTTTCAGACTTTTAGCTGATGAGAGCTCCTCCATGGCTGGCTGTCTGAACCTTCTTGCTACTTGCGGTTTGAAAAACCCTCTGCTTTATGGCAGACAGGGCTAATTTAGCCCATTTGGATAACAGAGAAGCTGGAATAACAACAGAACAGTGGTAAGTGACTGACTACCACAGACGGGGTAATATAGCCTAGCTGAGACACCATTTACCATCCCATTTTCACTTGAATTATCAATGTGTAAAATCTTAGTTAATGCACCTTTGACAAAATGAAAGTTAAATGTGCTTGAGAAAAAATTAGTTTTTTTTTCTTGCTGTTTTCCAAGATCTTCCTCAAATTTCTTCAAGCCTCAAAAATGTTTTTCCAGCTGTGAGCAGCTCCTCCACTAGCATGTTGTGAGATGCTAGTTTGAACTCTTGCAGATAATAAGTAAAGTAAATTTTTAAAAAGTTTACTGATCTTATAGGCAGAGCCCTAGTACAGAAACTGCAAGCATCATCTTGTAACAATGGTGATCCTCCCTTGTGCAATGCATCATCCATCAACAACACACCAGAAAGTCAGGCAAATTTAGACACATCTTGGAGTATACAAAGCTTTTTTGAACACACTACTGCACACATCCGAAACCTGTTTAGAATTATGGAATTGGGATACAGATAATAACGCGGTTGTATTGCGGTTTCTTTCCTGTTGAAGTCAGTCAGTTGAGCTCTTTCACAATCAGTTTCATCTTTGTGTAAACTTTGAACACCAGTGCAAACTGGCACCTGTAAAAAATAAACCTTTTTTTCATTTTGATGCCAAAGCCTGATGTTTAACATGACCGAATTAAATGACTGTAACATTTCCTGCTGTCAAACTACATGGTACTGTACTTTAGCTGCTGGAAATAGCTTAGCATGACATTACAACATCAATTTTTTGCCAGTTATTTATGAGTATATGAAAAACCACCATGAAACAACCAACTGGGCTTATAAATGTAAAATATATCTACAAAAGCTGATGCTTACCATAGTTTAGTACACACGCACACACACATAGTCTGGTTTAACTTAAATAGCCATAAAGAGTCAGACTGCCCACCACCACCACACTCCCCATCCTGTTAGACATCACCTGACCAACACACACTGTATTTCAAAAAAGACAGGAGCTTGATGGACTCACACTGTGACCTCTGTCAAGATTTGTAAAAAGCAAACTCTACAAGGTGGTCACAGCAGGTAGTTGACAACTCCTACAATCTAAACATGCACAATGTGTCACCGGCACAGTGTGTAACTGAACTGATACATGCTCGCATAGCATTTCCACAATTTCCCCCCAATACATGATTTATGGTTTATCAAAAACAAGAAAAATAATCAACTTTTATAAGGTATTTTTTTCATTCCTGTATTTTAAGCATATGTTACTGTAGGTTTTGTTTCTCTGCTTGCAGATAAGGCTTTCTGTACAAGTTGTCCTGCAGAGCTACACACAGAATGAATCAAACATCTACTCAAGTGTGGATGCATTAGAAAACAGTTGACATTGCATCTTTTTCTACAGTATATCTAAAAGGATAGGCACTTTGTCTTAAAACATCGCAAAGAAGTCTGTAAGAAACATTAGACCTGAAACAATGGAAAACCATAAGCATTTCACATAAAACACATCTCCAGTATGTTTTTTTCATGTCATACAAAAATGCACACTATGAAAGGAGAACATCTACAAGGAAATATTTATAGAAAACAAATCAGTCAGTCAGGTACTTTTTACTACCATGCAGTGCTTCTCTTAAAGTTTGCAAGAAACATTTAACATGAAAAAAAAAATCTCACTACCTGTGTGAGAGCACTTCATCTGTTCAGCTGACACATAAGGAATGTCAGAAAGGACTAGGCATCATCATGGAATGGTAGAGTCCTAAACTAAAGAACACACCCATTTGTACAGTGTCATAATGTCTTTGAGCTTTTCCAACATTTTATGCTATCATTTCACCAAACTATTGACCTGTTTTCCCATGACTCGCAGTGCAAGCAGTCCCATAGTGACTCTCAAACATTTCAAACCTTCACTAACTTTGCTTACAGCTTAAAACAAAATGGCATATTACATAGTATGTTGTGCTGCTGGGAGTAATATTGATGTGGAAGAAGGCAAAATTTCTCATCTTGAGTGTGGCATTGCCTTTAGATGTATTTACATTATTGTGAAAACCCTTCTTTTACATGTGCCGCTTTCATTATTGTGTATGTGGTGCACTCTAACATTAAAATGGTTCTAAATGATGAATTAACTAACTTTTTTTTTTTGTTCCCTGGCCCATAAGTTGTTGCGTCCCTAAATGGCAGAAAAAAAGGTGTTTGCTAATTGCTATTTGTCAAAAAATGCTACACAAACTCTCCCACTTCACTAAAAAGCCCTGTTTAGAAAAAAGCAGCATGTGCAATAGCAAAACACACCAGCACTTGTGTTTACTAGAATGGGCTCCCCAGAATACAGGCTGGGGTTATGAATGACACACGGTCTGGTGGGTTAGCTTCACCCTTTAAAGTCAGGACATATCATCTTAATGTGTAGTCTGTGTTTATAATGTGATTTCGTTTGAGGGTTGCATGGTTGTGTCAGCACAACACTGAAGCCAAAGCAAATCAAGGACAACTACTGTAAAACATCCAATATTGATAAAAAATCTGCTACTCTTCTGTTTCATAATGCTATGTGCCCTTTGATTAGATGATATTTTTTGTTCACATTCAAATATTACCCACTCCAACATTTCTCCCTGTTTAAAGTTCTTCCTAATCTTAGCTCTCCAAGTTAGGACTGAAATACAGCATTAAACACACAGTGACAATGTAAAGTAAAGCCTTCAAAGAAGATGATAAAACTCATCACAATTCTTCAAAAATGCATTTAAAAGGTTTGTTTAAAGCCATGCTAGCACCATTCATCCTCCTCTGCCTCTTGGTAATACCTGGGTGCCCTGACACCAGAGCCTGGGCTGGTGTTGCCCCCGAGGCTGAAATGGTAGCCATTGGGCACCCCAAGATTCTGCTGCGAAGAAGGAAGCAGGGCTCCCATCATGTGAGGCAATATGGTCCGAGAAGAGCGTATGGCACAGTGCCTAGGCGACAGTGACGCTGCATCCTGGAAGACGTCCAGTTGGTCCCGGAGGCTGCCGTAGGGGCTGCTATGGACCTCGTTGTTGTCCCGGCCCAAGAAGGGCTCTGAACTGATACGAGTAACAGGACAGGGAAAGTGGTGGAAGCCAATGTGCCGGAGGGCGTTGTGCTCCGACACACCACGGCTTAGCCGGCCAGGACTCAATGAAACCTGGCTGGACACAAAGTGCACAGGAGAGGAGTTGGCAGTCTTGTAGGCCACCCCTGGTCGTGGGGTCAGGGGAGTCTGGGGGAGCTGCCGGCGTCCGCGGCTTGGTGTGCTAGAACTGGAGCTCAGTGCCACTGGGCTGCCTTTAACCCAACCACTGCCCTAGATGAAAATTGGATAAGCAATTTGAAATGACAGAACGATGAGCAAAATATGTGAGAGAGGAAAGGAAAAGAAAAGGAAACAGGGAGAGGGTCACTGAAGATAGGGGAGAAAAGGAAAGACACCAAAATGTGATATGTGATGGTTCAAAAGATGCACAGATGAGACAGAGAACATGGGCAGAGAAGACAAAACGAAAGAACAAGCACTAATGGAAAGGTAATGACAGACAGACAAAATGAATGGAAGATAAGAGAAAGTGGGAAAAGAAGTGAAAGGCCATGAGAGGCTGCACTAAATGCAGACAGGGGAGAAAGCAGTAGTAAGAGCATGCAGAGCAATCACAATAATCTTTAACAGGATCTGCATTCAGGTTTGTAGTCTCGCTTTTCTCTAAACTCTTCTCCTACATTCAACAAACAATCTGTACAGTGCTGGCACATGGCAACTAATTCATTAGGCTGGAACCTTTGATTTATAACAAGTTTGTCCAGTTAAAAGAATATGGTGAAACATTGGTACAAAAACAGCTCAAAAAATATAGTTTCACTTTAAAAGAAGTCTCAGTAATTTCCTTAAAAAACCGGTCACTCCGGGTTGTATCAAATAGTTAATGTTAGGGACTATTTTCAACAGCAGATTGATCCGCATTAGTTGCTCTAGTGAGTATTTGTGGGACTGAGTCAAAATAAATGACAGTTAGTATGTTTATGGTAATGAAGGAGCATGTCACCATGACAGAGGGTTAGTAACTACATTTTTCCTCCAGTCTTTGTCTGTGACATGGTTTTCATTGTTGATATGGTATTCTAATCAATTCTGCTCAATTTAAAAGCTCAACTAAAGAAATTTGAATAGAAATATCAACAATTATCTCCAGGGTAAGACTAGTTGTTATTTGTTACTGTTCATAACTATTGTTGGTAATTATTTTGTTTGCAAAAAATGCTGGTGGATTAAGTGAGTGTTTCTGCTCAGACTTGTGTCTGCAGCTGGAGGTGGACATGACCTCACTGGAGAACCTTGAACACCACTATGACACCAGAGGCCTAAACCTCAATTCCACAATTCCTATGTATCAGTTTGATCAGGCCTAAAAGAAACATTTTCTCATAGCAGTTATGAGCAACATTGATGTAATCTTCTATTTTGATAAAAATGACAATCTGAGGGAAAATGTAACTCAAAAAAGGTCAACACTGAGATGAATTTCAAAGTCCAAGAAACCCTTTTTAACTCCCATTCACTAGTCCAGAGCCTAATCTGGTCCTAACCTACATGCCTGTACACTCCCACCTGCTTGGTGCTGGTGTCCTGCCCCTCACTGTTGGAGGCGGCACAGCTGGCAGTGGCAGATTTGGCGTGGCAGTGCTCCCGGCTGCAGTAGCGGTCACAGGAGTAGTAGCGCTGCTTGTCTACTGAGGACTGGTGGTGTTTCCTCTCGTGGGAGCGTCCGCGGTCATGGGCTCGCTCTCTGGAGACAGTTTGGTCAGACGCCGCCTCACCTGGTGCACCTGCGGAGGAGGGAATATATTCATGTTCCTGTAGTCTGGATGGTGGATTCATGACTTTTGTATCTTTTGATGTGTTTGCCTAGGTTCACTGGGGTTGAAGACAAATGTGAGTGCCACTCTACTTGGCAAGGCATTTAATTTGTAGGAATCTACATTCTTTAGTCACAGCAGATATTTGACACAGCAGGAAAAGTGCAGGTGTTACTAACAATGTAAAAAGTGGCTTTGTTCTGTCCCAGTAAACCATGATAGTGTGACCAGTGTGGCCATTCCAGTCTGGACCAAGTTCCTGAGCTCCACTATCTCCCAGGACCTGAAGTGGACGTCCAACATCAGGACCATCATCAAGAAGGCACAGCAGAGGATGTACTTCCTGCGCCAGCTCAGGAAGTTCGACCTGCCCCAGGAGCTGCTGATACAGTTCTACAGAGGAATCATCGAGTCTGTTCTCTGCACCTCCATCACTGTCTGGTTTGGCTCAGCA